TGGTTAGAAAATTGATTGATACAATCAAAGAAGATTGTTTTAAGACGAGATATATATTTTTTTTTGTCAGAAATTTGATTAAAACAAGATATATTTTTTCAAGATTAAAATAACACAATAACAACCTTGTCGAGCAAACCACAATTTGATTATACTCTTTATGATCTAAACATCGAAGCTCATTATTCGAACTTGTGAAGAACTCAAAATTTTTTGTACATAATTTGGGGGAGAGAAGAATTTAGATATCAATAAAACTTTGATTGATGTAGGAACTCGAAAATGTAATGAAACGGGTTTAATCAATGCGTATATTCTGAATTGTCCTATACAGTGGATCTAAGTAATGAATAGGGTTGGTTATATACACACACATCGATCGTACAACGGGTAAGTTAGAAATTATTTTAGAGCATGTTTAGTTTGTCGTTTTCTGTTTTTAGTTTACGAAAATGCCAAAAATGCGTTTGGTCTGTTGTTTCCAAAAACAATGAAAAATTTATAACTCAAAACGAATTTTTTCCATTTTGAGTGTTTTCATTAAAAAAACTCAAAACACGGAAAAAACTCTAAACACCTATTTTTTTTTTTTTTTTATCCAAGGAATGTTCAACAGTACTTTTAAAATAAAATATTGTCAACATATATAATTTAGTGAAGCATGATAATTTTAAAACTCACAACATTTTTCAATTTCGATTATTATTTTTTTCGTTGATCAAAATTTGGAAGAACTATTATTTTCTTTTTTACTGTCCAAGTGACAGCAAAACACATCCAGAAGGATGAAGGACATGTTGGAATAATTAATAATTCCATATGTGGGCTTCACATTCAATTGCAAATTTTACGGGTTAGATGTATGACTCATAATGATATTTGTGTTTGAACCAAATTTATTAAGTGATCAATTGGGCATTTTACACCTTACGGGTTGTAATTAATTTGATGTGGTAATTTAAAGTATGTGGGCCGAAAATAAACCATAATTAGAATTTTAGTCATAATGGAACAGCTCAATTATTTCCTATATAAAGGCTAGGTCCCCTCTCCTCTCCATAAATTTTTTATTGATTTGCCCCATTGATAGCTAATACTTTGTGAGGAGTAAGGAGGGGAAGATCTTAGCTACTATTACAACTATTATTCATATCAACAATGGCTTCCGCAGGTATGAATTCGTTTCTATTAATTTATTGGATTGTGATTATCAATTCTTAACATGATTAAAACTAATTATTAACAATTGGTATCAGAGCAGCATGTTAAGATCGGAATCCTTCATAATTTTTTTTTCGTATCTCACTTTGATAAACGTCTTCTGTGCATACATTAAAATTATATGTGTCATTGAATTAATTCGTATTTCCTTCACGTGGTTGAGTAACCCACAAGCAGGAACCATAAATGCTTTCCCTCTCTCTCTTCCTTATATATATATATATATATATATATATATATATATAATGCAGGAGCCCCCCGAGGCATAAGCCAGTGGTGCAAAGGACAGAAGTGAGGTTATCTTACGCCTTGTTGGCAGCCGCAGTGTGGGGATTCAATTCCTGAGACATGAAATTGGACTCCTTATAGGCACAGTGTACAGATAGCTCTTGTTCCCTGGCCTGTTGGGGCATATCCCCCAATTTACCTCCCTCATAAAGTTTTAGGGGCGGGGCGGTGAGGCCCCTCAAGGTTGGGATTCAATTTTATTTAGTTTTAATAAATATAATGCAGGAACCATAAATGCTTTCCGTCTCTCTCCTCCTTTTATATATATATAATGTAGGAACCATAAATGCTTTTCCTCTCTCTCCTCCTTTCACACACACATATATAAATATACATATAAGAAAACGTGGTTTTCAATTATGGAGTCTGTTATCAACTTGATAAATATGTAGCACTGATTTTCTTGAGGAAATCATCTCAAATGCGAGAAATATATATAATGTGTGACTCTGCTTAATTGATTTAGTATAACCTTGCTAATTTGAATCTTCAATTGAATTTGTGTGTGGGTTTTTGTCTATGGTGATTATATAAAAAAAAAAAATTACATAATTTGATCGGCGGCAGCATGTTGCTGCCGCATGGGTTAAAGCGCCGATAGGAGCTGCCAGCTTGAGCGGCGCCAGTGCAAGAAAAAAAAATTCAATTTCTGTGGGAAAAACCGGCCAAAGGTAGGTCGAGGCTTCTGTCGTAAATAACCAATCTTCAAACCCTTGTTTGCGATTATCAGTTGGGGGTCATATTGTAATTACTTAAATAAGGACTTGCCATGCAATTTTAAATATGAAGGACATGATTTTTAATTTTTGTTTAGTATTAAAATGTAATTTTCA